AGGGACCAGCCACCAGCACTGCCTGGTCAGCCGGGCCCAGCCACCCTGCCGAGGCCTCAGGGAGTGGAGAAAAGCCGTGCCCACTGGGCCCTGCCCAGACTGCGGTGCCTGAGCGGTGAAATGACTGCTGTCCCAGCCGCCAAGTGTGTGGGAGCAGACCCCAGGAGCGTGGGGCAGGAGCAGACCCCGGGAGCGTGGGGCAGGAGCAGACCCCGGTTGTGTGGGCTCCACAGACCCCGAGAGTGTTGGCTCCACACTCCCCAGTGCAGCCCAGATGCCCTTGCACGAGGGGAAGGGTGGGCCGGGGACTGGCCTGACCCTGCCATCGCCACAAGCATTGCTGCCTCCTCACATGCACGTCACAGCCTGTGCTGGCCTCCAGCGACCCAGGCTCAGGGTCAACCCTGCAAGGACAGGGACCCTGCTCTGGCCCGCGAGCGTCTCGTAGCTGACCCCCAGGCAGCACACCGCCTGTCAATAGCTCGCCCAACTCGCTGGTGGACGCGCCCTGCTGTTGCCCAAATCAGGGGCTTGTCCCAGTAAAGGCCACTCATCCCAAACACCCACCCCTTCACCAGACTGAGCGTCCGACAAGTGGGGGCAGGCGTGGGTTGAAGTTTAACCAGCACCTCAGGAGCTTGGGTGAGTTTCTGCAGAGAGGACTGCACCGTCCGCCCTAGTCGGATCCAGCGAGAACGCCTGCAGAAGAGCACACCGTCCGATTCGGGCCACGGGGCCAGCCCGAGATGCTGAGGGCCGTGGTCTGGGGGAGGAACGGCTGCAAGTCCTGGGGTTTGGCCTCCCTGGCCGGGCAGGTGCGCGGGCTTCTCCCAAGCCGACCAAGGAGGCCGATGCGATGGTGCTCACAGCACCCCCACGCCCAGGGATGCCGGGCTGGCGCTCGTAAGTAGCCCCTCCACCCCCCTGAGCGCGCCTTGCCATTGGCCTCGTTAGCCGTGCCTTTCCCGCAGGAGACGGTCCTGCACCAGGCCACTTGGGTTCCGAGCTCTACTGACACCTTCGCGTTGAGTGGCCTTAAATGACTCTGGCCAGTCACTCAGGTCTCAGGGCGTCAGGAGGCAGAGGTGCCGGCCGAGGCCGAGCAGCTGTGCTTGGACATGCTGGGGCCACCCATTGCCCAGCCCCGTGCGGCCTGGCCGCTGTGGCTCCAAGTCCACCCCAGCACCGAGCCTTGCAGGCAAACCGGCGATGATTCGGCACTGCCAGCTCCTCGAGAGCCTGCCCGGCCAGCCTCATCCCAGCCAAGGGGCCTCCCACTTCGGGGTCTCAATCCTGCCTCCTAAGACAAGGGCCTGTGTCAGGGGACTTCTAGGCCAAAGGTTTGCACGTCCCTTTCCCGGCTATTGAAGGAGCACAGGGCTCAGCGCCAGCCCACTGCTATGGGACCTGGGGCTTGTCGGAGGTGAGGCGCAGGGAGAGGCTGCACCTCCCAGAGCCATAGTCCCCAAGGAAACGCGATGGCTAGATGTTCTCAGGAGGGCAAGTACCAGTGCGTGGCACACGAAGGAGGTGCGCCAGAGTGCTGTGGCACACGCACGAGGTGTGCAAGTGAAGCCCGGCACACTTAGTGAGCTGCCCTAGGTCTTCCGGGTCAGCCCGGCAGTCCACGCCCAGGGAAAAGACCGGAACCACAGCCCGGTCTGTAGTGGCACTCTAGACCCTGCCCTGGTGTCTGCCACGTGGGACTCCGGTAGGGGACGACTCCCGGGTGTGTGGGAAACCGCCCCTTGGGTGACCCTGCCCATCCCCCCCCCTGGCTTGTGCTTAGCCGCTCTGAGGCTCAGAGAGCAAGAAGGCCCAGGCGTCTTCAAGGAAGTTCTGTGAAGCTGGGAAACCAAGGTTTCTGGGGACCCCATTCCAAACCCTGAGCCGCATTTTCTGAAATGTTTCTGATTTCTGTCTTTAAAAATTGCACTCAAGGGACCAGCAGTTGGCGTAATGGCTATGTCGCTGGACTCCCATGTAGTCGACCACGGTTAGCGTCCCGGACCCGGTGGCTTAAAACTCATGCCGGGCGCGTATGCGTGCGTGCCCAAGATCCCGAGAAGAGAATGGAGGAGAAGGGATTGCGGCGTGACCATCCCCCCTGGGGGGTGATTTCTCGCTTTCTGTCTCTCTGTCTCTCTCT